GTGCCTTTTAACTTATTGAAGAGAAGTAGAAGTGTGAATATTTCTGTGGTAATGCTACCTCAATTATGTTTGTATTGTCATGAGTTATAATATGAAATATATATAATAATAAATGTTAAGATTATAATAGCAATCGTAAGTTGTAATATGTATTATAGGTTATAAAGCTTGTCATAATTACTATATAGCATTAAATAAATAAATTTAAAATTTATATTAAAGCCAATTTAATTTGTTTTGGATAGTCATTATAAAAAGTAATTAGTCAATTGAATCAACTCTTGTAGCAGTTTTATAATATCAATAAATTTTTCAAGAGTTGAATCAAAAGAAGAGTTAAGCAGTACTTTAAAAGTTTTAATATTGTAGTTGTTACTGGACTAGATATTTATATACAATATTCCAAATTGGTTTTAATATGTTATATAAACTTTGCTTTATATTGAAGTTGTTTCATTTTATTGTAAATGCTATGTTACAGTATATGCATATTGATATTAGTTGTAATGTCTTTTTTTTTACATAAAAAAAAATTTTAAACTATGCAGCTAATTTAATACTATAGACTAAAGCAAAAACATTTTAACTACTGTACATATTTAATTTGCAAATTTTTTTCGAAGTCAACATTTGCTATAAATTATTAGTTTTTTTTTTAAAACATATTTATTGATTTACTTGTTGTGCTTATGTAATAAAGTACAAAAAATAATAAGAAAAAAATCCATGATCATAAGAGTTTGCACGATAACTATTATTAGTGGACCAATTAAATTGCAATATTGCATGTGCTTTTTTCATTTACTTATTGGCACGGAATTGTTACGTCAGACACCGTGCAATAAGATAGTTATTATATGGGTATATGAATAACCCGCTATGCTACAAACAATAAAAATAAATAAATAAATAGGAAGTTATTGCAGTTCGAATTTTATATGTTTTTATTATTATACTATCATTGATCTATAAAAATATTGATTGTGATCAATTAGAGTTGCGACCCAAATAGTATTTACTAGCTTTCGCAAAATGCCTCTAATTTGCCGTAGTGTCAAACATTCTGACATATAAATTAAAATCCCAATTTTTTTACATGTAAAAATCGTGTTTGGGACTCATCCCAAACAAAGAGAGCCCGGCACCTTGGCCAATAAGATCACGAAATTTTGACATCAAAACGCGATTTACCTATAAGTCACCTTGTTTTGCATACGTACTCTTCATATAGCCAACACTTCGTACACTCCGTTTCTAATACACGTTACTCTGGATATATCGACAATTTTTTTCATTAGCAAAAAAAAATTTTAAAATGCGATACAGTGAGTTATATCGATATTTTATATTAAATTTTTGATATAGAAAGGTTTTACTATGATGTATAAAATTTTACCGTTACGATATTGATACGTACGTACGTAGAATAAGCCATTATCAGTTATAACCTGCATGTAGATCCCAAATCAAGTAAAAAAAATAAGTATATGCTAGTGCGATACATATTATACATCATACAACTCATGCATACATCGAATACTTCGATTTTATATAGAAATCTCGGTGAAATTATAAGAATGGATTGTCTAATCAGATGCGTTTAAATATAACCATATTCTTCGTTGCACTTCTTCCTAAGTTTTAACGATGAATATGAGTTCTGCTTGTTTATTACCTGGCTAACAATAAATAAACAATCATTTGGCAATTTTATTTGCGCTTACAAGTAAAAGAGACATTGATATTCCCAACATTCAACCAAAATTTTTACGTGTTATTGGCTTAACTATATTTAATTAATCGATAATCGATCCATCCATGGTTCTTGGATTCGATCTTTGTATTATCAATCTTTAAACATGGATATACCTGGTTAAAAGTCAAATTTGTTGAATAGTTTAAAGATTATTCTATTAAATGCCGAATATTTATTTAATGAATTGATAGTTTTGAGTTTGACACTATTTCCCGAAATGGGATACATATTCAGGTTTTGGTTATGAACCCAAACTAGGTAGAAATACCGATTCCCAAACCCAAACTAAGTAGAAACGCCGTAACTAAAAAAAAGAGGTTGGGTTGCAACTCTAACTGTAATATTACCTGCATTATGTTTGTAGACGGTATTTCTGTGGGGGTCAACTATGTAAATCAAAACTATAATTACTGCATATTATATATATATATATATAGTAAAGAATGATTTGTATGTTTTAGATGTCTAGAGAGAATCGCTTTACTTTTTTCAATTGTTTTAGCATAAATTGATTCTTAAAAGTTACGTTAAAAATTTTGTTTTCTAGTACAGTATTAAATTTTATACCCGCGAATAGTTTATAATATGAATTAAAATCGAAATTTAAACGTAACTTTGTTATAAACGTATTTAAGATCCATTTGTATTAAAATTATTGAAAAAAGTAAACGATTCTCTCTAGAAACCTAAAAACATGCAATCATTCTTTACTATACTGTATATATTTTAAACCTCCCTATAGTCACCTCCTATATATATGCACATTTTCTTTATAAGGCCATGCAAAAAAACTCCTTGGTTTACATAACCCGGCCGAGGTCCAAAAATTGAAAATTATAAATTTTTAATTAGCTATTAATTATTAATTGCGTGATAGATACTATAAATGGAATTAAAATTTAGATTTGTTGTTCTTTTAGATAAATTTGTTTCAACTATAATTATGTTCATATGTACAGTATATGCTTAAAAATAAATACTTATTTACAAATATCTAATGCCCTTTAAATTGTTTCATTTACATTAATTTAATCTATAAACATGATTTATTTATATATAATTATTTATATATAATTATTTATAAATACATATTTATCATTATCTAATGTCCTTTAAATTATTTAGTTAATTTATGTTTACAATCATGTTTATAAATGCTTACTTATTTACTATTATTTCATTCGTTTTAATTTGATGGGTAATAAATATTATATATAAATCAGTAGAATTAAAATAGTATTATGCTCTGCTCACAAAATCATGTACATAAATGCTTATTTGCTACTTCCCAATTCTCTTTGAATTCTTTATTTATATTAATTTAATCCAAGACAGTCTATTAAATGTATATTTGTTTATAAAAAATTTTTTTTTTTAAAAAAAAAAATCAAGATGGCCGGGTCAAAAATTTTATTTTATGTTATGTAAACCAAAAAATTTTTTTTTGTATGGCCTAAGCTTATTTTTTTTAAAAGCTATCTACTTACTGTAAATATAATAAATTTGACCTCTATAATTAGCACATTTCTCTATAATCCCACTTTCTGTATCCCGTGGGTGTGACTATAGAGAGGTTTGATTGTATTAATTTTTATATAGTCGACCGAACACCCGTGTTTCTGGTTGGACACAGAAATGTGATGCTTTCAAAGCATCTTCGTTGAAAAAAATTTATCACTTCAAAAAATTGCCAAACACTTAGGTGTTAACATATCTTCTATAAGTTGGGTTCTCAAGAACTTTCAAATACAGTATATGGATGTATTGAATAACTTTTAGGAAAACCACGTTTACTAAATATAAACGATATAAATATGTCGACAAATTCTTAATTATATTTAACTTTTTAAATTTAGTACCTATTCACGTCATATGTTTATTTTAAGAGTTTATTTTATGTCTGAGACCCAACTACAGCATTTTTATAAATTATCCAAACTTTAAATCTTAAATAACTTAACCATAATTAATTTAATTTTTTTAGCCTTTAATTTTATGTTATATAATTTAAAAAGTTATGCTTGTTTTTCATACACTAAAATATAACAGATGTAAGGAAATAAGTGCCACTAGCAACGTACACTATATATTATATATAATATATATATATATAAGTTGCTCAGCTCAGCCTGTTGGTCTTATGAGTTACGTAATAAAAAAAATAAAGTTTATTTTTATATATATATATCTATATTATGTAATTGATATAAAAATATAAATTTACATTTATTTATAGGTTATTATAAAGTTTTCCTCAGTTTTATTGGTCGCAAAGTAGTTCAGGTGATTAAATCATTGAAGTACTGCAATAGGAAAGTAAAGCGGAGACAAAGTAAACAAGCCCGATTGTAGTATGATATTTTATCAGTTATGTAACAATACCTTAACATGGGATCTAAACTTAACCTATTTTCTGTCATTAAAAATTCTCACTTGTAACATATACATAATTGAAATGAATCAATGGCTTCAATAATTGAGCCAAAAGGATTAATATATCACATATCGATATTACATAAATATAAAATATATATATATAGTATACAGTCTAAATATTTAATAATGTATTGAGCTTCACCAATAAAATTATTATTTCTAAAGATTCCACAAAAAGAAAATCCGAAAATCTATCGCTATTTATTAGAAAAAATGATCATGAAAAACTAGTGAAGAAATAGAATCTGATTGGCAATCAATATTTTTCCTCGAATTAAAAAGTTTAAAACAATATTGCTTTTAACTCGTTTGAAACAATAAAACTGCCAATTACGCATAATAATCATCATCACCCATGTTCATGCTTCATGCATTACCGCTATTCCACCAATACTAATACATCTGTACATGATAGCATTTAAACATTTATGCGTAAATTAATGCTTTGAAACACCAATAGAGAAATTTCTTTTGCATAAAGTAGATTCGGGAAATGATTGTCGGATTTGGAAATTTTCTTTATATTGAGGGTTTAAATTTAAGAAATTTTTCCTGTTTTTTTTCTGTAAAATATGGCATTATCTAATATATTTTTTATTTAGGTATTAATAAAATCTGCTAATTTTGCATCTATGCATAATAAATTAATCTTCTTGAAACAACTCTTTAAAGTTAGATCATACAAAAAAAATATATAGAAATTGTACATTTTTGCGCTTTACATTCGGTGCAAACCTTTTTTAACACTTCATGAAATATCTAAACCTTTAATCATATTTATATCTTTCATTTTACAACACATTTAATCATGGTTCGAGGTCATAATTTATCTATTGATACAGTTGCTGCTTCACGTGGACAAAGAACTACGTCAAAATCCTCCCGTAAAGGAGCTGGATCGGAAGACGAAATCGATGATTATGATGATGATGCAACTTCAGTGGATAACAACGAGAATAATTCAAGCTTCGACGATGATGACTATTTGACTTCTTCGCCTTCAATTATTGAAGAAGAAATTGACTTTTCTCTAGTTTATGCTTTACATTCCTTTCAAGCAACGGTCGAGGGTCAAGCTACCGTTATGAAAGGTGACTCATTAAGTTTGTTTGATGATTCAAATAGTTATTGGTGGCTAGTTAAGGTTTTGCCGAGTGATGAAATTGGATATATACCTGCTGAAACTATTGAGGTATGTGATAAATTTCTTTATAAAGCTTTATTTATTCATTATCTAATTCGCTTCACGTGATTTTGCAGACACCATACGAAAGATTAGCAAGATTAAATAAACACCGAAATATTAGTGTAAGTGAAATTCTTCATAGTGCATCAGGAAATTTAAACCTGATTATAATCTGTCATAGCTAATCAATTATAAAATAATTGATTTCAAGCGATTATTGGTGGTGATAATCGATTTAAATCAATTATTAATAATTGATTATAATCAACATACATAACAGATAAAATGATTAAATTAAAATCGAGGTTTAAATTTTTTTAATATACGGTTAATTTTTATTCTTATCGATTATAGTCGATAAAAATCTTTCATCGCATCAATCGGCTTTGGTGATGAGAATCGTTTAAAATCACCAGATTTTAATTGATTATAATTAGAATTTAAATTTTCCTGATGTGTATATTGTATCTTACACATATAAGAAAAAATTAATAATTACATACTTCTGGATTAAAGATAACATCCGCACACAGCGTTGTTGAATCAGATAACTCACTTCCTAAACAAATTCCAACAGAACAAGTAAAGGCCGTTACTTTTGCATCTCCGCTATTTTTTATAGCTGAGGCATCCGATGATGAATATGATGATGATGATGATGATGAAGATGATGATGATGAACATTTTGTGGGTAAAATTGAAGTAACTACACAGTCAGTCGTACAGCATGAAAAAATAGATGATGATGTACAATTAGTAAATGAACCGGAAGAAATAAAATATGCTGATAAGCAAGTAATAAATCCTGAAAGTGATCAAGATAATCTTAGAGGATCTAGAGGATCTGATAATTCTGTTAAAGTAACAGAAAGTGAAATCGTTGAATTAGATGTTAAAAGAACGAGTGATCAACAATATGAAAAAGAAATAAATCAGCAGCATAGACAAGAGAATAATCAACAATATAGGCAAGAGAATAAACAACAATATAGCCAAGAGAAGAATCAACAATATAGGCACCAATCACAACAAAGCGATGATATAAGACAGTCATCACAACGATCGCAATCATACCAAATGAAAAAGCAAACTGGACAATTAGAAAATAATTTGACATACGATAAATCTGCACATAAAATACAAGATGCTATAAATAATAAAAATGAAACAATTAAAATGTCACTGACTCCAGCTTTAGGTAGTGATTTCATTGATTTCTCGGATGATGAAGATGAAGGAAATAAAATGAAGACAAGACCTGGTGGATCTTTCGAGAAAACGGGTAGTAATAGTGAGCCTACAAAAGTTAATATAGCTTCAAGTGAACCTATTAAAAATGTGGAAGTATCAGATGATAAAAAATCTGGAAAACCGAAGAAAGAAGAGAAAAAGAAAGAGAGTGGCGGTATATTCAGAAACCTCTTTAAAAGGAAATCAAAGAAAAAAGAGGAAGAACCTGTCAAACAGGTTTCTTCCGCGCCATTCCCACAAAATAATTCCAAAGTTCAACGTCCGGGCCCCTTGACAAATCAGCAACAACAATCTCCGCAACTTGGTTCTTCACAAAATCGATCATCTCCACAGATTGGATCTCTAACAAATCGGCCACAACATCAGCAAGTTGGTTCTTTACCAAATCAAAGTCAAGGCCAACAGCAATCACAAAGAAATCAGAACCCACAACATCAGATAGACCCTCGATCACGAAATCAATTTCAAAACCAATCTCAAATTCAATCTCAAAACCAACCTCAATTACAACCTCAATTACAGCCTCAATTACAACCTCAATTACAACCTCAATTACAACCTCAGTTACAACCTCAATTACAACCTCAGTTACAACCTCAATTACAACCTCAGTTACAACCTCAATTACAACCTCAATTACAACCTCAGTTACAACGGCAACCTCAACCATCTTCAAATCCACAACAATCCCAGGCACAACGTGCATCAAACAGAGAACATCCAAAAGTTCAACAAGTATCTGTTAGTGAGCCTCCAATTCAAGTAATTCAACGTGATTCTGGCCCAATTCAGCAAGAGATCTTACAAGCCCCTGCACAAGATGCAGTTCAATCAATAAAATTAAAAAATTCACCATCTCCCATAAGAGTTGTTCAACATGCTCCATCTGAGAGATCAATTACTCCTTTGACCCCTCTTACTCCTTTTTACAATGTAATTCGAATATTTGCTGGTCAAAATATTTCATCAAATGAAGAATCAAAACTATTTTTATTAAGTCCAACTACAATCACCTCTACACTCATTAAGCAAGCATTGCACCGATTCAAATTAGATGATGTAGAAGAGTGGGAAAATTATTATATAACGATTAAAGAAGCTAATAGAGGTAATATTTTAAATTTTCAAAAAATAAATAAATAAAATAAAATAATAATAAATAAAAATATTTGTTTGTTTTGTTTTCTTAATATTCTCTAATACAAAATATTAATTTTTATTATTTTACATAGACCAAATTCATTTAATGTCTGACGATTTACCACTTGAAGCCTTTCATTCATTGACATCTCATAACCCTGTGACATTACCTTCGATCAGGAGGAATTCTGTTGAATCTATTTCTTCAACTACTTCAAGTTTATCTGATATTGATGAGATCAAAAAATTAGGATTACAGAATGAAAAGGGTGCTGTTACTTTCTTTTTAAATAGACGTTCAAAAAGAAACAGTCGATCTTCAGAAGAAAGAAAATTACGTGTACGGGTGTTGGTTTATAATGATGATTTACCTATTAATTTAAGGAGCAACAAGCCACATATACCAAGAACTTCTATGTCTGTTCCTAAACATCTTGCAGAAAAGGCTGCAAGAAGACGTTCAAGAGAGGAAGGTAAACCTAAAGAAAAGATTGCTGTAGTTTCTGGACTTGCAACTGTTAGGCAAGTTATAGAAAAAGCTATGGAAAAATTTGAAATTACTGATGGAATTGTTGATGATGGTAAAAGTATATCGGATAATGATGAAAAGCCACGATATCAATTAATGGTTATTGTTGACGGAGAAGGTGAATATCCTCATTCTCTTATAATAATTTCCCAATACCATTTTATAATTCCGACAAAGTTAGCCGACATTAGCTATAATGTTTGTCAATTTTGTTGATATGTTTTTTTTCGGAAAATTGTACCAGAACCACCAAACTAACATTGTATATATTTTATAATACAAATTTGTTAGAAAAACCCCTTCCCTCCGAACTAAATGTAATTTCGGTTTATCCAACGGCACCAAAGCTCCATCATGTATCAGTAGATTCTATAGACTCATCATCATCTTTGGTATTGGACTATCGACCAGACGAACCAATGTTCGTTCTAAGACTTTTGCGACCTGAGGATCTTCAAGCACGTGCAATGCCTGTGATTTCTAATATTGATCACAAAATTCGAACACAATCACGTAATTTGAATAAACAAGATGAACAGAAAACTAATAATAATATAAATACACGTAAACAGCTTATCGAACAGCAACGTGAATATAGCCGTGAAAAGCAAAAATCTATTCTTTCTGCACATAAAAATACATCACAGGGTATTGATATTGTTACGAAAACTGGAGCAATTCGAAGTTCTCGAATTTTTGGCAACAAAGTTCGATATTCTTTTATTCCAACAAAAGGAAAAGAATTTGACATTAGTGACCTTGTTGAAGATATTTGGGGTGATGATGATGATGAAACACTAAATTCAGATGAACATAGTGACTCATCCTTCAATGATTCTTACGATGACAGACGAAACAGTAAGAAAAAGGAATTTCGTAAAAGCACAACACAGGATGTTGACATTTTAGTTAAGATGATAAATCAAGCGCATAACAATAGTGGAAATGTTGTAAAATCTTTTGAGGAAAGAATTGAACGTGTATTGCAACAAGTTGATCGATATGGTAATGGTACAATGTCAAATCTTGCAACTACTTTACGTGAAACACGAGAACAATCATCCCAACAAAATTCAATTATTAACCATTCACAAAAAGATGCACCACAAAAAGATGCACCAATACTTAATGAACGTTCTAATAGTCTATCAAGTGGTTGGTCTGTTCAATCACCAACACGTTCTACCGCCACTACCGATGATTTCAGTAATGATTTTGATGATGAAGACAACGATTCAGTATCTGAATTGTACTCTTCAAGATTTAAAAATTTACCATCATTAACAATAGAAAGATCACAATCTCTAGAGTCTCTTTCCCTAGTACCTCAAAAGCCTAGACAACGATCAATCTCTTCCGCATCAAACAATTCCATAAACACTAACACTACCATAGATTCAATAACACCAGGAAATCAACATTCGTTATTTAGAAAATTATCTACTGCTTCTTCATTTACAGATAGTGATTGGATATTAACTGATGACTTTGGGTTACAAGAACTATTAATACTTGTCAGATCCGGAGTAAATATGTTAGAATTAAAAGAAAGGAGAAGAAGTGGATGGCAAATACACGAAGATCCTGAAAAAATACTAAATACACTTAAACTCACGGATATTAGAAATGATATTAAGAACATTTTTGATAATGTTAACAACGAATTAGATCATTTAGAACAAGTAAGATCGAAATTTTAACTTCAAAATTTAATCGATCCTTTATTATTGGGGTTTTGAATTAAGGTTTTATTTGTATTAATCAAAAAATTTTTTTTCACACAGGAACTCGATAAACTTATGGATGATGCTATAAAGATTTTCTAGCGTTAAGTTTAGAGTAATTTGGACAATATCAAAAAATATCAATTTAATAATTAGACCGTTATCCATTGATCGTGTCATTTAATAAGCAACTTGTATAGTAATTATATGTACTTCATAAACTTAATATCGGGTGTATAAATATTACCAATATTAATAAACTTAAAATGAGTATGATTGACTAAAATAATGAGAATCACAAAGTTCCTCATTGGTGGATCATTCTAAAAAAAGATTTATATATTGTTAATTCTAACAGATCTTTTTTTTTTTTACAATAATTCTTTATTATACTCGCGATTCCCATTCACTAATTTATCTATCAAAATATTGAACTTGAAAGAAATAATGCAGTAAACCATAAAGTGGAGGATACAAACCGAAAACTAGTATTCAACGGGATCATCTTTGCTATCATCTTTGCTATCAGCGATTTCTTCATTGGCCGCTGGCTCCTCAACGTTGACGTTTCCCTCGTTATTACTTACCGTAGTTTCCATGGCTTCAGTAGCCGACGATTCTTTTGTATGAGCATCATTTTCGATACTCTCTTTAGGTGATTTATTTTCATCTTTCTCCTCACGTTTATCAACTTCCATTTTAATTTCTTCACGTGTTTTAACAACTGGTCTTTCAATTTTATTGAATCCAGTAATTTCAAAATCATTAATGATACTGCTCTCTTCATTGTTTTCATTTTCACTATGGGATATTAATGATGACGATTCTAATGCCACTTGTCGTTTCTGTATTGCAATAGTTTGCAATGCAGATTGAGACATTTTGGCCGGAAGATAATACAAAGATGGTTGTGTATTTGTACGAAGAAAATTGGCAAGATTCTTTTTATGTGTTGCCCAACAGATTTTCTTATTGAATTAAGGATTATTGAATTAAGTGACAAATGAATAAATATAATTACATCTTACACAAAAATAATTTAAATTATACATAATCCTTACCGTCTCATTAGTTCTTTTTTCTTCAGCTTCTCTTTTTTCCCTGACAATTCTTTCTCTCCTTTCTTGTTCTTCCCTTCTAATATTCTCCACCAATTCTTCGTGCTCCTTCTTTAGCTTATCTTGCAGTTTTCGTTCAAGTTGTTCACGTTTTATCTCCTACATCATCAACAAACCGACTTAAATGATATGATTCATTGATCTAAAATCCATAAAAAAAAATAAAAAAACAAGATAATAGTACATACAGCCTCTGTTTTATTCTGACTTTCATTTTTAAATTTCGTTAATGTGTCTAATAACACACCAAACATCTTTCTACTTCGTTTCTTTACTTCTTTATTATTCATGTCTAATCGGGGCCTTTTTGCCTGTTATATAAACAGTAAAATTTTTATTATTATTACTATTATTATTGTCAAATGCTATCTATATATCAAATTAAAATAATTAAAATTCAACCTCGTCATTGTTCTGACGAGCAAGCTCGTTACTAGCCCGTCGTTTTGGTAAAGCATCTTGGCGGCCAGATCTTTTTGAGGTTGTGGGAATTACGATGCTTGATGTTACAACTGTTTGACTGCTAAAAATAATTCAAACTTTCATTAATACAACCAACAAAACAAAGTATATGGCTCTAAAAAATGTTGCCTTTTTTCCTTTTCTTTGTTATTACCTTGGGCCGCTTTCAGTATTAGTTTCAAATCGATCCGCAAATTCTGTAGCCATACTTTTGCGGGTAAGCAAACAATTGTACGATTCGTTCTTTTACGCTTATTGTTTCACAACAAATTGTTAACTAAATAGCTAATATTGACACTATGTATTTATTTACTTTTATGTCAGGCATAAGGAAGAAGCAAAGAAGCAAATACTAAGGACGTCAATACGTATATATGTATAATATTCCTAATTTGGTGACGCGGTACTTAAATTGTCCCTAATACTACAGTATACTATATACATTTAATAATTAACGGGTTTAACCGGTTCGGTTTAGTCTGTATTGCGAACCGTCTATATATACTGTATATATAAATATATAATATAGTTATATTTTTTATTTCAGAGTAATGACTCAATATTACTTGAGCTTTTTATCATAAAACTATTAGACGTATGTACGTACAAAAAAATATATCTTTAGAAATGCCTAATATTTATAAAGTGCCTCGTATTTAAAAAAATTTAAAAAATTATCAAAAATAGGCTTTTTTTAAAATAAGTTTTAATTTATTTGTAGCCATAGGCTACATTATTTTTTAACTGGAAGTCCACTGGAAGAAAATTAATAGTACTACTGAAACTTTTACTATTACAAATTTCCACTGGAAGGCTGAGAATTTCTACTGGAAGCAATCAAAATAATTTTTTAATAAAGAAAATTGTGTGCTAAGCTTAGGGTTAGAAGTAAAGTTAGAGTGGTAAAATTGTTTTTTGATTGGTTACACAACAGGGTTACCCAGTAATTATTATGGCTACATAGCCACGACTACATCCTTTAAATATATATAAGTTTGACATCATTATGCTGCCTTGTAAGAATTTAGAAACGTAGCATGCGCAGCAGACCTGTAGATAACACGTGAATGAAATTATGCTTATGATGCGACAAAGGAAATTTAGCATGATGTAATACAATATTCTATTTTTATATCGTTATCATCTTTTTTTAAAAATGGAAAATGAATACGAGAATTGGTTATCAGAATTGGTGATCGACATAGTGAGTTCCTCTCACTTAGCATTCTCTGTTTAATGTACATCAGGTATAAGTTACGCTGCAGTTGAGTGAGACCATTGACAGCTAGGCTACGGCGTGTAATCGCCTGGTTGTATATCCCAAGGCCTAGGTTGGCCAATGGACCAAAATGTGGCTTAGCAAACGCCAATGGACAATGTCCATTGACAATTTATTCAGAACCCATCATAGTCCATTGCCAACCTGCCCAAGGCCCATAGGATTGGGGTATAGACATAATGAGACACAAAAATGTTAACTGTTTTTTTTTTTCTACAAGATTTCTTTTCGAATATGAAAGATGAATGGTTATCAGAAGTGGAAACCGACTTGATGAGTTCCTCTCACTTAGCATTTTCTGTTTAATGTACACCAGGTGTAAGTTACACTACAGTTGAGGGAGGCAGCTAGGCTACGACGTGTAATCGCCTGTGTAGACCTGGTTGTATATCAAGGCCCGTAGGATTGGGTATAGGTATGATGAGATACAAAAATGTTAACTGTTTTTTTTCTCTAGGACAAATCTTATGAACAAATTTGTAAGGAATTCAGAAACTTATTAAAGAAAAAAGTTAATTAGCAAAAGCCATACCAGACTTACAGCCATTTAAAAAAAACAAATTTAAGAAAAAAAAAAAGAAATCCTAAATTACGAGATGAGGAAATTGCTACAAAATTCAACTGTAGTGACGCGGGCGCGCGGCTTTTTTTTTAATAAAAAATTTTTTTAAATAATGATAAAAAAGCTTATTAAAACTTATTATCCCATGATTCATGATATCAGATATGAGGTAACTCGATACGTCGTAAATCGGAATAGATTAGTCGCGCAACCAAAATTTAGCAGATCGACTAAATTCTGGGACGGAATGGATCAGAATTGATAAATTTTGCTAATAACCCAGTAATCCATGCGCTAAGTAGAATTGCCCAGATGCTAATTTTGCTTATAATATAGTTATTATTATTGCTTAATGCCGGCCTAACTCTGATGCATTCCGACTCTTAAACTCTGGCTGATTTACCAATTTTGGTTGCACGACTGTAAATGTTGTGATTTTTGCTAAAAATATAACGCGAGACTATGATTCTTCCGAAGAGCAAATTAAGATCCCATGTGTAAGAATAACTTACAATGGTATTGATAGATAAATGATGAATGAACAATACAGAATAGTAGTATGAGGTAAGATAAGATGCACCCAAAATGTATAGAAATCATTTATGCACTACTAAAGTAAATGAAATTTTGAACTTTCAAGTTTGCCATTTATCGTTATTATTTCTGTATTTATCAAATTCAGCTCGTGAAAATCTGATCGGTGATATATATTATGTGATTAACGGTAAATGAATAAATTAGCCATGAGTTACCCATTTAATAAGCGAGATACGATCTATCTTTTACTTAAAAATTTGCCATCACTTTACATTCTTTACATATCAAAATAATAAATTCTCGGAAAATTTCTACCCAATACAAAAAGATTATTTTATTTTTAATGCAAGAAGCTTTTAAAGCAATATAATAAACACAGTCCATTTTTTAGCGTTCAACCAAACTATAATTAATACTGCTATTCCGTTTTTTACTTATCGTTATTTAAATTTAAGGTAAAGAAGACCCAAAATGGAAGGGTTTTGGGTAAATGTTTTTCCATGATCACATTTTTTTTATTAGGGTTTTTAAGATGTTTGAGAACTCCCTTAGTTGATGATGATCACAATAGTAGTTATTTGAAATAAGCTATATATTTCTTTATTGACCCGGAGCGAAGAGGAGGATCATAATTATATTAAATTAGTCTGTAAGTATAGTCTGAAATATACAACAAAAAATTTTTTGCTGCTTCGTAAGTTATTCTATCACAGTAAGATTTTAAGTCACTTATTTAGGTAAAATATAAAATAATTGAAATCAAAGTATATATGTACCTTTTATTAGTTTTATTTATAGTAGTCGATAAACAAACTTTAATTTAAGTTCAATCAATAAATAATACGTATTATTAATCGAAATATTCAAAATAATGCTGATTTATGATTCTTATAACTTGATTTTTTGAAAATTTATATACAAAATGTTAATTTTAATTTTAGTCTTATCGAACTCTAAATTATATAGTATATGACACATGATCAACATGGCACAAATCTTAAAATCATCACAAATCATAATTCGACACATTTGAACCGTTCTTTTTTTAGATGCTTAAATAAATGAACGAAACCAATAAACCCAAGTAAAACCCTTATTAACTAAAGAATCACTTATATTATGTTTTAATGTTTGAGAAATATTGAAAAATAAAAGCAATAAATTTTCATTGCTACTTATTGTTGAAAAAGATAAAGAATTTTGTCAGTTAAGACCATAATTTGAATCTGAACTGTTATAGGATTGAGATTATAATATCATAATACAGTTTAATTAATAAAAATAATTAAAAAACATGTGACACTAATTTATAGTAATACGTAGGTCAGTCTTGAAGCTAATTAATTTTCAATTTCAATCCTTGGAAAATATGCATTCTACTATATTAATTACTAAATATATGGGGGTGAGTCAATAGAAATCAAGCAAATTTTTTATAATAAAATTTTTTTATAACTTTAAACAAGA